TGCAGGCCCGGCCCGGGCCTTAGGGCCGTCCGAGAAAAGCTGTGACTTTGTTCATAGACAAGATACAGTTTTCCAAATAGTAGCATTTTGTAGCACTCGTCGAGTCATATCAAACTTAGGTGTTCCAAAAATATTGACTCTGAGAGAAACTATGCCAGGGCCCGCGAAGGCCCGACAAAGGCCCGGATTACAAGTATTAGAATCTTCTTTTGCTTTTTTGAAACAATTTTCTCAAAAAATTACTGTTTCAAAAACAAGAGAAATATAGAGAAGGTTGACTAACAGTAATCCTTGTCATGCTTGTTTTTTTTCAAAACTTGAAAATTTTTTTTTCAGGAAACTTCTAGAAAGATCTGGAATTGTTGTTAATACTCCCGCAAGAACTGTAAATTCTATGTCATCTTTAGGAAAGTGTCGTTAATGAAAATAAAGAACTTTCTGTTCTGGCGCGATTCTCAAAATTCTTCGAGAACCTTCCAGAAACGACTTTTGAGACTGTTCATATTTCAAAGCGATTTTTCGAGAATTTACAGTTTTTTAAAAATTATTATTCATCAGTTTCATGCGAACCTAAATATTTTCCGGCACATAAAGTTTTCTCAAAAAATTACAGTTTCAGAACTTTCATACGTTTGAAGCAAGTTTACTCGTTCTCAGTCCATATCCTGCCAGGTTTTGAAAAGATCAAGAAAATTTTATTGTCCTCATTTTCAAAGTGTGGTTTTTCATTGTGTTCTCTCATGCAGTATGAGTCATACTCTATATTTTTTATTTTTGAAACCCCCCGAAGTACTAGTACAACTATTCATACCATGTCCCCTATTCCCCCCAAATACTAACATCTGTGTCAATTGCAGCTGTCAAAATGAATTGTGTCATTTTCCCCCCACTTTTTTCGCTCTTTTTTCCCGCGATGTTCGCAATTTCGAATTGTATGAAAAAGAGACGAGAAACACAGAAACAATAGGGAATCCGATTATGAATTTGCGGTCTTTTTGTTGTCCCGTTGTGTCTTTTTTTTGCAAAAAAAAGAAAATGATACTTACGAAGTTCCGAAAAGTGTCTCTCCCGTGCCACATCCATTGTATTCGTTGCAAATTGGTCCTGAAAAAAAGGAAGAAGAAGATGACGAAAAGTCGTAAAAATGGCTATAAATCTATTTTTTCGTCTAGCCATTCAGTTTTCATGAGAAGATGAAAAACATCTGGGTTTGAACGAGACTAGGAAGAAGAACTTCTTCAAGTTTTCTAGAAGATTTATGTGAATTTGTTTGTTAGGTTTTTATTTTTATTTGATGGGCTAAAAAAAATGAAGATGATATTGATTTGATTTTTGAAGTTTAAACTCAGGAATTTTGAAAAATGCATAATGGTATTGGATCCTAACTTTGGTCCCTTTCCCATCCTTCTAGATTTATGAATTTTGAAAAAACAAAGGAATTTTTAAAAGAACTCTTACGGGACTCATATTGAAAGGGATTCCTGCATAGTACTAATTTTGTAAGAAAGCGAAACAGAAAAATTTCGAAATCGCATTTTTGCAAATTTTGCATTTTTCGAAAATGTTGCTCATAAAGGTTTTCATGCAGTTGATCAGAAACCTGAAAATCGAGGCCTAGATGTGACAAATGTAAAACTGTAACTTGAAGATATCTGTAAGATCAAATAAAACTACTGATTGTGGGATACTTATTGAGAAAAAATGAAAAGGGAATTTTGGAGCTCAAGCTCCATAGTATTTCCGAATCTATATAGAAACTTGGAATTTTTTTAGAATAATGAGTTCAGAATATATGAAATCTCCTATTCGAAAGAACATCTGCATATAAGCTAGTACTAATTTCAAAAATAAGAAAAACAGAAAAAATTAAAAAAATAGAGTTTTCGTAATTTTGAATTTGTTAAAAATGAGTTCCATAATGTTTATGTACTTGATCAGAAGCCTGGAAAAGAAGACCCAGATCTGAGAATTGTGAAACTGGAGTGTTGTCTCAACGAATTTTACTGATAGCGGCGTATTAATGTGAAAAAAATGAAACGGAGTTTTTGGAGCTCAATTTCTAGATTTTTGAATTTAGAGAAATTTGGAATTTTTTTTAAATTTCATCATTTGGGCTTGTCAAAAACCATTTCCATGAGACTATGTGTCCTTCATCAGCAATCTGAGAAACAAGATCTAGATCTAAAAAAATGTGAAACTGCTATATTTGTTCTAATCCAAATTTCCAAGTCCGCAAAGTTTTGGATAATTTCTTATAAAGTTAAGTCGTTTAATTTCGGATGTATCCATTTAGCTAAGAACTCGATACAGATTTACGACTTTTTTGAAACCGAAATTTTTTCAATTCTCAAAAAAGCTCACCTTTCCACATATCTTTACAAGTGCACTTTCCATTCTTCACCGATGCATGAACTCGCAAAACTTTGCATTTGTACTCCTCATACTCTGGATCAGTTGTTTCCAACTTCCATCGGTCACACTCCTCAAGTCCACCATCCATGATGCCCAATCCAAAGTACGAATCGTCTCCGCATGATCCGATGGGGATATCGCTGAAAGATAGATAATCATTATATTCAAGGGGTGATAAGGGACCGGAGAGTTTAGTGATGTGGAAACTGATTTAGTTTGAAATCCGATCCAATTGTCAAATGACCTCATATTGTTCTGACTATAATGATATTGAATCCGTAAAAAATTGTTTCCAAACATAAAAGCACATAGCGTAAAGCCTGTAATAAAAGAGCCATTTCTCTCGGTTCCTGTCAAAGGTATAAAAATGTTGTCAACTGACAAATTGTTTATCATGATATCAAAGACATTTTATCAGTTAACACATTTTTTATATCTTGCATAAGAGACAAGAAAAAAGAAAAATTAGCCTAAACTTGGGAACCCATTTATTACAGGTTTTACGGCAAGCAGGTAATTTTTATTAACTTTTTTCTGTAATCGTTCCACTAACTTACTATTAGGTTTGGAAAACGCTATTGCAGTCGAATGATTTCATATTGTTTCTACTAGTGTATATTGAAATTGAAACAGTGAATATTTTCAATTCCCAATTGACAGTAGTAAATTCCATAGTTGCAAAATCTCGGGCCGGCCCGGCTCGCGGGTCGGCCCGTCGAGAATTTTGGCGGGCCGGCCCGGTGTCTGTTCAGACGCCGATTTTTTTGAAATTGTTTTTCGAAATCCTCGAAATTTTTTCAAAAATTTATACAAAAATGATATATTTCTGAATACTTTCTACTTGGTAATTTTGTTTAAAAATGTAACCTTTTTTCTTTTTTTTTCCAAAAATTTTTCCAATTTTTCATTGGAAATTTTTCAACAGTGATAGGCGGGCCGGGCCGAGAAAATCCGTCTACCGGCCCGGCCCGGCCTTTTGCAACTATGATAAATTCTGTTCTGTATTTTCTTCACTTTTTTTAGTAAACACCGGTACAGAACCCATAAAAGCCCTGTAAGAGTTCAATCCCCACATCAAAGTGAGTATTTAGTCAGTTGTGTTGATACATCTTCCTCCGTTTATGGTGAGGTGCTTGAGCCGATGAACTCGTGTCGATGACACTTAACTCTTGAATCCATCATATACCTTACCGACCAGTTGGTGGGGCTGTGTTGTCATAATATTTGGATAAGAGAGAGAGAAAGGAGGAAGGAAAAGGAAATTGGTTGGGATGATTTTTGGTATTTGAAGTTGTATTCATAGTAATAGTCAATAAAATTTTTAAAAACCAAGCGGTTCATTAACATCTATAAAATTTGGCAATAAGGGAACAAAAGTAATGTGGGGGACCGATACCTATCATTTATAAATAATGTTCAAATTGTTTAGAAACGTTACTGAGACATAAAATATTGAATAAGTTATTTTTCAATTTTAGACAAAAATTTTCTACCTAGCTCTGGCGATTCTTAGACGACAACAACTGACTTTCAATCATTTTCAAAAGCATTAAGCATATCTACGAAACTGTAAAACTTTCCAATGTCACCTCTCCCAAATGTGTGAAGTTCCCAAAAAATGTATCACTACTTTTCAACCGTTGCTCTCTTAAAAACTCTCAAACCCATTTCCAAGGGTCAACACCCCTCTCTACTTGTTTGTACTTCTCTCTTTTATTTTCTATCCATTTTTTGTCTCTCGGTTTTTTCAACACAAGAAGGAGAGGAATTGATGCAATTTTTAGAGCCAACAGCAACACATTGCGCACCCTCTCTCTCTCTCTCTCTCTCTCTCTCTCTCTCCTCTCTCTCTCACGCAGAGAGTGCGCAGCACCACTCAAAAAATGTTTGTTTGCTTGTGTATGCCTCCACGACGCCAAAATTTGCGACGACGACATCAGAAGACGTGGTGCTTTGACGCTTTTTTCTGACCCCACACCAATGGTCCCAATTTGGCGCTGGCTGGGTGCCAGATGGATAAATAGATAAATAGTGTGTGGGGGGCATTTATTTAATTTCCGGATGGGCAACTAACTTCTATTTTTCTGTCTTTGATGAGAGAGCAAGCGAAAAAGAATTGGCTCAGGAAAACAAGAGATCAATTTCTATGATAAAGTATGTATTGTGTGTGGAATAGAATTCCTTGGGAGCAAGCCATAAACAACAACGAGAGAATTCTCCGGGTGCTGGACTGATATAGAAAAAAGTTAGTAGTAGTAGTATTAGTCATTTGGGTCAAAACATGTGAAAAGCCTAGATGATTCATTGGGAAAATGAAATCTGTTTCAGATGGGAAAGATGAAGCATTAAACATATTAAGTGTAATTGAAATGGCGCACCATTTTGAGAATTCGAAAAGAATGTTTAGTGAGTTGTAGCTAGTGGTGATGAGAAGAGAAATGAGCTACAGTAATCTCGGGAGCATTGGGATATATTTTGAAAAAAACATGAAACCATAAATTTCCACAGAAAAAAAAACGATTTCAATCTCTCTACTTTATTGAACCCAAATTTTTTGTTTTATTGAAGCTACTCTTCTAATTTGAGCTCAATTATCTCGGTTCCTATCATATGATAGGATATGATATCAAAAAATAGTCAACTGATTAGAATGTTGATTGTTGATAATGTTTTGAAAAATATTTTGTCAGTTGACAGATATTTGATATCTCTTTCAGGCAGGAGCCGAGATAATTGAGCTCAAAATCAGGCTTTGCGGCAACTTAAGTTTTTCAGTGATCTTTCAGAATTTCCAGTAGAATTTCCAGCCAAAAAAGTTAGCTGTTGATGAAAAGGATGAATGATTGATTTTTGGGAAAAGGAAATCTGTTTCAAAAGGTCAAGAAGAAGGATTGAACATATTAGCTGTAATCGGTATAAATAGTGAAAACCATACTTATGGAAAAGATGGCCGGCCCGCATTTAAAAATTTAGAAATTTTAGAGCAAATCATCATTTTTCAAGATGGCTTTTCTCCTTAATAAATAAAAATCCACACTAGAGAACAATTCTGTCAAAAAAAAAACTGTTTTGAGGTCGTTTTTAGAAAAAATTTCATTCTTGGCTTACTGAAGTTAATTAATGAAGTTTGATTTTTTTGCTAAAAATTCAATTAAATTGACTTTTTCGGATGGTTGTATGCGTTTAGATTAATATTTGTGCTATTAAAAATATATTGGCACATTTGAAAAGTAACATTTTCGAAAAATTGTCCGAGACGAGCCGAGCTGCCGGGCCGGGACGAGGGTTTTGAGGAAAGCGGGCCGGCCCGGCCCGGTCCGGCTATCCACATGTATGGTGAAAACTATATTTGAAAAGGCTGTTCTGGGAGTTTTCAAAATAATAACAAGAAAAATAACGAGCTGCAGTAACCTTGGAAGCATCGGGAACTATTCTGGCAGAATTAAAACCATCTAAATTTCTGAGAAAATACGTTTCAAATTTTCTATTTGATTGAACCCAAATTTATTGACACTACTCTAGTAATTTCTTTAATAATTCAATACTCGAATTTTGAGCTAAATTATCTTGGTTCCTGTATGAGATATCAAAAATTTGCCAACAGACAAAACACTTCTTATATTATGATGAACATTTTATCAGTTGACAGAATTTTGATATATCTTCCAGAAGTCGAAATAATTGGGCTCAAGTGCCAGAAGAGCATTTTCGGTATCTTGAGCTCCTTGAGTTTCCAATAAAAGTCTGATCCAAAAAAACAATAATTTATTTTTTTTGCTGTTTCAGTGGTTCCAGATTTCTCGAAATTTCAGCCAGTTGTCATTAGGTATCCGATATCTTTTTTTTTCTATAACAAATTAGTTTTTCTAAACTAGTTGGAAACTTGATATTTACTGGTTGTTGAGTATATCTGGCCACCCCTCCAAAATGTGGTGCTAGTTGGATGGGGGACTTGTAATCTGAGAAGAAGTTTTTCTTCTGAATAAAAGGAAGGAGGTTTTTCGTCAGAATTTGATGTGACACGTCACGAGAGACACTGAGCAAAAAATAGATAAGGGAAAAAGTTTTTGGGTTGAACTTGGGATTCAGAATTCGAATCTAACAATGTTGGGCGTTTCAAGTAATTGGTATTTGTGAGCTTTGGGAGTTCAGAATAATGGCTTGTAAGTTGTAAGTAACTGTTCCAGGTTTTGAAAATGCTGAAAATTCAGATTTTCGGGTACTGTAGGATTCCGAGAATGGGATTTTTGAATCTCAAGGTTCCTGAATTCTATGATTTCAAAATTCTAAGATTCTAAAATTCTCAGGTTCTAAGGTCCTGGGATTCAAGAATTCCAAATCTTTTAGGTATCAAGATTCTAGTCAAGATTTTCGAATCCTATCTTCATATGATCCTCGAATTCTCGAGATTCAAAAAATCTGAATCTCTTCCTGCCACGTCATCTGGTCTTTGGTATCCCACCTTCTTCTCCTCTTCCACTCTCTCTTCTTTTTTTTCATTCCAAAAATCTCATTTTCTCCGGAACAAATGTATTTTTTTCTCTATTTACGTTCTCCGAATTTTTATGGAAATTGACCAAAAATCACGAGAGAGATGATATAGAAAAGAAGCCTAGCATTTTCCGGATTTTCAGATTTTCTAAGATGTACAGGATTAGAACTAGTGTACTATTCTCGGATTTTTCAGATGTCGTTTCAAAAAAGAAAAACCAACCTGATCTTCACCAGCAAGTTTCCATGAGTATCCTTGATTTTCGGTCGTTCTCCAGATGCTCCAACAATGCACAAAAGAAGCACCAGGGCTCCTGGGGTCCTCATTATCTGATTCTCCTAAAATTTTGATACTATAATTTTAAGAAGAATAAAGACTCCAAAGATCCAGGAAATATAAAAAATGTGTCAAATATCCATAAAGAAATGAAGAAGAGAGGGCGGAGAAATAGAGATGGAATGCCGTTGGGGAAACCGAGGAAAATAAAGTGGGCGGAGTCTAACCCCGCGATCGAGAGAGTCCGACGTGAAGAGACGCAGAAGTCAGGGGAGAGGAAAGAGAAAACATTTTTCTCTCCCTTCTATCAGCATCTGCGCAGAAGAAGAAGAAGCGGAAAAAGGAAGAAAAAGAAACAGAGGTTTTGGCATATAAGCTGAAGAAACAGAAGAGATTGAGAAAAAGAGCAGATTTTTAAGACAAGGGTCATACATCATCATCAGAGACAAACTCCATGGACATTGTTGACACCTTTTTTGACGGATTGGTAGTACTATGGGGAGAATAAAATGGAGAAGATTATGAGTTTTAAAGGAAAAGGAAGGGTTGGAGTGAAAAGAAAAGTTGGAAAGAAGCGATAATCTCTAGAGAGGAAGAAAAAATATTGCTATCACTTTGAAGTACATCGATTCGGGGGGTACAAAATGTTTCAGTAAGTTGTATTAATTGTACTACTGAATTAAAACTTTGTCCCCAAATGAGTCAATGGATCTGAATAAATTAGACCCTTCTTCAAACCATTTTCAAGCAGTAATAATTTTTTGATTGATGAGTTTACAAAATTTCTCGAAAACCTTAAAACACATATCTTTTCAACTTTGAGCCAATTTATCTCGGTTCCTGTCAAAGATATTAAAAAGTTGTCAACTGATTGTGAGAAATTTTTTATCACAATATAAGAAGTATTTTGTCAGTTGCAACATTTTTAATATCCTGCATAGGAAGTGAGATAATTGAGGTCAAACTTGATAGTGTCTATTAAATATTATATTAAATAGTATTCTATTAAAGGGTTTTACTGTAACTCAAAGTTCTGGAATTTTTTTAACGAAATTTTCAAATATGTATTCTTCAAACTGTATTGAACAAAATTGTAAGTTTTTTTAAGTATTCAATAATACATTTGAAACCGAAAATTTCTGAAAAATTCATTGATGAATTACTCTTGTTCGAAATCAGTGCCCATTGTGAGCGTTTTTATTGTTAAAGGCGCATTTGAATGCACAAGAGCGAATTACAGTACTTTTGAGCCTATTTTGAATATTATTTTCTTATTTTCTCAAATTTCCGATGATTTTATTCCAATTTTTTCCGTTTCACTTGATAAAACGATGAAAAGCTTTCAAAAGTTGAGAGAATAGAAAAGTAATATTAAAAACAGGCTCAAAGGATATAGCAGTTCGCTCTTGTGCCTTTCAGAAAAAATTTATGAAGGTATCCGCTCTCAATGCGCACTGATTTCCGACAACAGTAATACCAATCTTCGAGCAAAGTGGGCATCAAACTTGGATGAAAAGTTTCAAATTAATCTGAATAAGTTTGGAAAGCTTTGGAAATCATGTTGAAACAGTGGTAGGTTTTATGATGGTTACATTTTCCTAGTTTCTCGAATACCGTAAAACCTCTAATAGAACGACACCCGGATCGTCCACTTTGAGCCTATA